GAGATGAGGTCTCACCAAGTTGCCCGGGTGGGTCTCAAACCCGCGGGCTCAGGCAATCCACTCACCTCAGCCTCCCAAAGCACGGGATTACAGGCTGAGCCACCGAGCCCGGCCGAAAGTCTTAGGTTTTAAGTTTCAGTGATAGGTAATCAGAACTCTCACTTGTGCTGTACTTTTCAGTTGACAGAAAACTTGTGTCTGTCGTAGCTCATCTGGTGCTCCTTGAAGCTAGAAAGTGTCCACATTTGGAGATAAGCATGCTGATATCAGACAGGGCTAGAAGCCTGCCTGTGGTTACATGTGTAGTAAGGTTTAAAGCCAGAATAGGATATGCTTTTGACTCCTACACCTTTGCATATCCACTGAAATAGGGCTAAAATGAGGGAGGAGGGAAAAGGGAAACAGACTGAAGTGTGTGGGAGGTGTCCAAGGCTCTGGGTCCACCCTGTCCCCAGCTGGAGCTGTGAACCCAGAGGAGGAGAGAATCAAGCACAGAGTGAGGATTTACAGAGGGACAGTGCCGTGAGCATGCTGCCCCTTGCTTTTTGTGATGTTACTAATACATTACTAATGATTGTCGTGGTCGTTTGTTCTTTTCCCTGCAACTCGTCCCTCCTCTTCTGCTTCTTACAAAAACTAGAACTTGGCCCTAAAATGACTTTCTGCAGGGGCTCACTTCAGAGTCATCCTTTCCAGACTAAATGTTAGTTCTTTAATTTTGTTTTGCCTGAGTAATATGTGATCTTTTTAAGAAAAAAATTTAGAAAATGAAGTTAAGGAAAAAGAGGGAGGAAACCTATTATCTCCTCACCCAGAAGATTGCTGAATATATGTGTCTGTTTTGTTTCCAAAAATGGGATTATGTTCTAGATTAATGCAATTATTACATTGATTTTCATTAGTCTGTGTAATTTCTGAATAATTGAACTGAAGGAATGTAAACTTGTTTGGGGTCTTTCTTCAGCCTTTTAATGTGTAGGCATTTGTTCCTCTTTCATCTTGCTTCCATCTCTGATATATATATAACTTTCATTTTTATCAGTGCTGTTTCAAACTAAAACAGTCCTCCCTTTCTCCTTAAACTTTAGAATGTGCTCTTGGATATTTCTTCCATGCTGTTTAGGTCTGTTTGCATGTTCTTTTGTTGTTGTTGTTGTTTCTTTTTTATTATAAAGATGTGGGGTACAATTCAGGGTTAGGTATACAAACGTTGATTATGCAGGTACGCTTGTTGATGAGGTATGCCCCTCCCTCGCCTAGCAGTTTCCCTCAACTGCCAGTCCCATCCCCCTCCCCTGACAGTTTCCCACTACTGCCAGTCACTTTCTTACAGCATTATATTTGTTCAAGGTCCATTTATGAGTGAGAACATATGGAACTCTGGTCTTTGTTTCTATGACAAATCACTGAGTATGATCAACTCTAAATCCATCCAAGTTGCTGCAAAGTCCATATGTTGGTCCTTCTTTATGGCTACATAATATCCCATTGTGTGTATATACCACATTTTTTTAATCCAGTACAACTTCGATGGGCAACATGGTTGGCTCCATGTTTTTGCTATTGTGAATAGAGCTACAACAAGCATATGTGTGCAGGTATCTTTTTTGTAGAATGATTTGAGTTCCTCTGGGTATATCCCAATAGGGGAATTGCTGGGTCATATGGAAGGTCAATTTTTAGTTCTTTGAGATACTGCAACACTGTCTTCCAAAGAGGTTGCACTAGTTTGCATTCCCACCAGCATTGTAGAAGCGTTCCTTTTTCTCTGCATCCTGGCCAGCATCTGTTGTTGTTTGTTTTATTAATGATGGCCATTCTTACTGGGGTTAGGTGGTATCTCAATGTGGTTTTGATTTGCATTTCTCTGATGATGAGTGAGGCTGAGCACTTTCTCATGTGTCTGTTGGCTGCCCATATATCTTCTTTCGTGAAGTGTTATTCATGTCTTTTGCCCACTTTTTAATGGGACTGTTTGTTTTTTTCCTTTTGGTGTGTTTGAGTTCCTTGCATGTTCCTTAGCTAGAGCATCATCACTGTCTAGGAACACATTCTGCAGAGGCGGAAATATTCACATTCTTCTATGTCTAGCATGGTACCCACTGGCCTCATGTGGCTGTTGAGCACTTGAAATACGCCCTGTGAGGCTTCAGGAACTGATGTTTTAATTTATTTATTTTAAATAGCCTCATTTAACTAGTGGCTAGCATATGGGAAAACACGGATCTAGGGTGCTCTAATTTAAACGTACTTTTCTTTTTAAACATGATGATTAAATTCCCTTTATATTGAAAGTGAAAATGAAACACCTTTTCAGAAATATCTGCGAAGCATCTGTATTCCTCAGGGAAGAAAATAGCTCCTTATGTGATGAGCCTCTGCGGCCCTGGGAGAAGCATCAGCACTTCCCCGGCACATCCTTGCAGTTCCACACCTTACCGCGTGGTTTTGTATTTGCTGCCTGTGTGATTTGCCCATTTGCACATGAGCAAACTGAGGCTGAGAGACATTAAATGACTTGCCAAGATCCCGTAGCTATTGCATTGTAGAACAGACTGTTGGCCATGATTAACTGAGCCCCAAACCAGCGCTGCTTCTGTTGTAAGAAGTCCTGGCAGTATCCATCTTACACTGAAGTGCTCTACCTTCAGAATTATTCAGTCTGACATAAGAGACCAAAATTGATTGTGCTGTGGTTAACTATATAGCCATTCTTCTCCCTCCTTGGCATACACCCCTTCCCTAATGTAGAAGATGAGGTTTCGGTTAAAGTTGATAAACGGCCTGCTCTATGCAGAACATTGCTAGCTTCCAGGTCTGGCATTCAGGCCTAGGCACGGGCTCAACAAGGCCTTCCCCTTGCCTGGCAGCTCTAGGGAAGACGCTTGGGGAGGTAGCAACTGAGCTGAGTCTGAATAGAAAGAGAGTTTGACAGGCATGTATAGAGGACAGGGGCATTCCAGGCAGAGGGAACAGTGTGTATAAAGGCTAGGTTGGGCAGAGATGGGTTTGAAAAAGAACAAACAACTAGAAATAATGTAGCTTGGCTAGAGCTTAGAATTTTTAAGGGAAAATGAAAGGAGATAAAACTAAGAATGCATTCTAGGGCTATAACATAAAAGTTATTTAATTCTGTACTGATAAATTTAACTTGCATTCCCATAGGCAGTGATGAAAACCTGGATGCTAGAAAATGAGGATTTAAATGTGTGGTTCACTTCAGTGGTTAACCAAAAAGTCCTGTTTTCTCCTGTCCCTGTTGATTAAAAACTTTCTAAAGATAACATTTCTCATTCTTATTTTAGTAAGTTTCTCTGCCAAAGATGCTAACTTTAAAGAATGTTGGAACTTGGAGGTTTTCATTAATCACTCAGAAGACGAGTTCTGATAGGATGTATTGTTGCCGTAATGTACTTATTAAGATTTCAAAATATATGTCTCAAGATGGGCCTTAAAACTTCCAGATATTGCTTCATTCATAGCCACTTGCTAAGCATCTGCTTTGTGCTGGGCCGCTGTGACAGTGGAGACAGTCCTGATCCTCCAGATCCTCCTGGTCTGTGGGGGGACAGCAAGACAGATAGTGCACTGAGGATGATCTGCTGTGGGAACTTGGTTCCAAAAGCTTCCATTAGGGCAGTGCATTCTCACCACCAGTCTCATGAGATTTCGTGTGTGCTTCTCGGACCTGATGTTATCACCTGTGGAAGTGTGCCACCTGAGACAGGAATCCCTCCTCTGGTGGGTTAAGAGCATGGTTTCAGAATCTGGCATGCCCGAGTCTCAGTCCCAGCGCAGACACTGTCTAGTGTGAGCAGCTTGACCCAGTTGCATACTCACCCTGTGCCTCTGCTTACCCTTCACCTTTCTGAAAAGTGAGATGCAATTGAAGGTACATCACTCTTTAGGGCTGAGTAAGTGAAATCACCCATGTGAAGTACTTGGCGCGTGCTGGGAGTGTGGGAAATGCTCCACAAATGTCAGCTCTTTTTATTTTTCAGGTAAATTAATGCAGTCTTACTATATATGTTGTAGGACAAAGCTTTCCAAATGCATTGGTACCATTGCTTTGAAATCCTGTATTTAAAGTTTGTGTTGTAACAGGGATGTTTGAATGAACTCTGACTTTTTCTCCTGCCTTCATTCTGTCACATTTTTCTTAGGGTGTCCAGATCTACCTCATGATATTCCGTGGGTCAATATGTCTTTCTCTCTCTTCTGAATTCAAATATGGCAAAACTAGGAAGAATTATTCTACATATAGATGGATGTACACATTATGAAATCACTGTGTTGGAACTGCAACTGTAATTTGCAATGTCTATGTGATATCTTCCATCATATGTCCTTCAGGGGCCACCTGAGACCCAGTCTCTACCACTATACGATATATCCATGTAACGAATACACGTGTGCTTTCTGAATCTAAAATTAAAATATATATGCACAAACATACACATACACACATATATATGTATATACAGTGTTAAAAAAAAGTCCATTGGGGCTGGGTACAGTGGCTTACACCTGTAATTCCAACACTTTGGGAGGCCAAGGCAAGAAAATTGCTTGAGCACAGAAGTTTGAGACCAGCCTAGGCAACATAGCGAGACCTTATCTCTACAAAAAAAATCAAAAAAATTAGTCAGGCAGGGTACTGCACGCCTGTAGTCCAGCTACTCAGGAGGCTGACATGTGAGGATTGCTTGAGCCCAGGGTTTTAAGACTGCAGTGAGCCTTGATCATGCCACCACACTCCAGCTTGGATGACAGAGTGAGATTCCAACTCTCTCTCTCTCACACACACACTAAAGTCAATTGGGAGTCATAATTTATCTGTTGGTACCTCTGTATAAAATACTAAAATTAGTTCAATAATTGTTTTATAGATAAATGGGTAGAGAGTAAATATATAATATGGATATTTTCAGATTTTGCAGGTAATTATAGTTCCTTTATTTTTTATACTGCTGGTAAATCTCTGATGTTTTCCATTGTAGTTTCTTTCAAGATGGCTTGAAAACAGCTGATAAATTGAAGCAGTACATTGAAAAGCTGGCTGCTGATTTATATAATGTAAGTTCTTTATAAAATATATGCAGTTTAACTTACTTTTATGAGTCAGTGTCAGTAAATTTGAAATCTGTATTAAAAGGAGTTCAAAGCAGAAAAAGTAAAGTGATGTATGAGTATAAACCTAGGGTAGGTAACCCTTCAGTTTAACCCAGAGAAGTCATCAATGGTCACATATTTCAGAGAACCTTTTGGGGGCTTCAGAGGAGTTGGAGGTGGGGGTGGGAGTAGTATTCAACCTTCTTTTCTAGATGACTTTCTATTCAGGGTTCAGGAGCATCATATTTGAGTGTCCTTTGGTAAGCAATCGTAGGAAGAATGTTTGATCATGGAAGGATAGAAAGTAAGTGACTCTCTGCATAGGCAGATTTATGGGATGTTTTTGCTTGCTTTACATTTTCTCTTTTTTTTAGGATCTAGATTTTGCTTTTATAGTAGGAAATCAGAAGGGAAAATTTGGTGAGGATGAAACTAAATGTGTAAGAGGGAAAACCCAAAAATTTATATATTAAAAAATGTTTATTTAATTCTTCCATGTTTAAACCTCAGTCACCCTGAAAGTACTCTTTATTTGATGTGGTAGACCTATTGAGATGCTTTTTCCACTGTTCAAAACAGTTCTTGAACTCGTCAATTTGAATGCCTTTTATGGCGCTTCTGCTGATCTTTGTTTCACCTCTTCCTCATTGACAAAACGTTTTCCTTTGAGGACATTTTTTACGCCAGAGAAACAATCACAAAGAAGTTGCGTGGGGCAAGACCCAGTGAATAGGAAGGGTGGGTCATGCTGTTTTCTGATCAAAGACTGCTAGACACTAAGCAAGGTATAGACAGATGTGCCTGCAGATCACCTATCATGAGAAAAGCAAATGGGTTGAAAGAATCTCCCCCCAAAATTTGCTGAAGCTAAATGCAGCCTCTTAGAACAACACTAACTGGCACACTGATCCTGATGGGGTTCTAGACCACTTACCTCACAGGGGGAGCCTGTGCTACAAGGTGCCCACCCTCCAAACAATAACTCTAGTTTTTTGGGGGTCCCCTTCATATGTAGAAGTGGTAGACTTGTTGCCCGTAAACCATTTGATGATGAATAACAGTAAAAGTATTTGTATTATGAGTATGAGTATATATCCTCAAATAAGGTTTTAGAGTTAAAAACAATACCTCATATTCTTGTATAACTTTAAAAATACATAGCTGTAATTTTTTTCTGATTTTCTTTTAGTGGTCAGCATGGTTCATGTTGCAGTTGAGTACTAAGTGATTTTTTTTTTTAATTTTATTTATTTATTATTATTTTTTTTTTGAGTTGGAGTCTCACTCTGTCGCCCAGACTGGAGTGCAGTGGCCGCTCCCGGCCACCACAGCCTCGGCCTGCTGGGCTCCGGCAATCCTTCCGCCTCAGCCTTCCGAGTAGCCGGAATTACAGGCATGCGCCACCACGCCCGGCTGATTTTTTGATTTATTGTAGAGATGAGGTCTCGCTGCCCAGGCGGGTCTCAAACCCGCGGGCTCAGGCAATTCACTCACCTCAGCCTCCCAAAGGCGCGGGATTACAGGCTGAGCCACCAAGCCCGGCCTAAGTGATTTTAAAAAGCCTCACCAACCAGTGCCTGGTTCCAATGTCATGCCTTGCAAACTTTCACGCATACATTGGCCCTTTAGATTCCTAGTCATTCTTAGGGTTCTCCTCTGGCCCATCATAATCACATCATGGTATTCCCATTGCCACCCTTTTAAAAACCGGAAGCAAATGATCTCAGTATTCCTTAACCTTGTTTAGAACAATACTTCAGAGTTAATTGTCTAGGCGAGATGTGTTATTTAGTAGGAAAGGATGTTGCATGATTCACTAATTTCAGAACTCACTGGTGCTTTCATATGATGAGAAGACTATGCCTCTTGTATCAAGAATGAGACAATATGAAGGACTTTAATAAGAAAACCAACTCTAATATAATTGTTCGATGAGTGGTATTTTAGGATAAGTTAAACTCTGCTCATAAAAGCATTAATGATAAGTAATGGAAGTCATTTTTTCTTTCTTAGATAAAACAGACCCAGGATGAAGAAAAGAAGCAGCTAACTGCACTCCGAGATTTAATAAAATCCTCTCTTCAACTTGATCAGAAAGAAGTAGGTGACTTTTATGTCTCCAGCAGGCTAACAGTACAAGTGAGGCTGCTTGTGAAACCCTTTGTGTTCCCTGGTCTTCCTGCCAGGGTGGATGTGGGGACCAATAGAATATAAGATACAAGTATGTACCTACCAAAAGCCCTGTGTAGAAGTTGTGTTCTAGTTCCCTTTCCCTCCCTGTTAAAAAAGATACCTCGGTTCTACAATTTCATGACTCTAGGTTTCTGATCCTGGCTTTGACGATGTGGACTTGAGGAGAATGTTCTCTCAGGCTCCTGGAAATACTCAGTACACACTGTAGACACCTTTCTCTTTCTGGGCAGCGGGAAGGGGCATGTCTCATATGCCAGGGAAATATTTTGATGCAGAATCCTGTGGATACTCTGCCTTACAATTAGGAAGATTGAAGCGAGATGGTTCCTGGATGTTGAAACAGTCTGTAATGCGTGGCAGATGTTGGGTGAATGCAGTACAAATCTTCAATTATAAATGTCATTTGTTGGAACATTTAATTACTTCTACTGTGTGCCAGGTACTGTTCTAGATACTAAGCTTTAGTCCCAGCAAGAAGCTCATTATCTGGTAGAATAAGTCAGCTATGTGAATAGTCCATCATGCTTAAAGTGGCATGAGTGCCATCAGAGATGCATGGGAAGGTGGCTGCAGCCAAAGACAGGAAGCCTAAGAGACTCGGAAATGGAAAACTGCCTGGCACGCTCAAGGGACTGCAGACATTTGGGGGTAGGGGGAAGAGGGGTGAGAAATGCAGTTTCTGAGGTAAAAACTTAGAACTAATTAAAGAGGACCTTGGTGTCACACTAAGGGACACAGACACCATAGCAAGGGTAAACTAAATAGTAAGCACCATTTGTTAGCTGGAAGAACGTCAAACCATGCCTGTCTGTGTTATGAAATTATTATGGATTGAGTTTAAGCACAACAATTTAAATAATAGTCACATAAAATACAGCATCTTTTATATTACCACTTCTTTATGATATGTCACAACAATGACAAACTCCCTTTTTTAAAAACTCTTATAATTTCTGAAAGAGGCTTATGAGTACGACACAAAAATAAAGCAACCCCCCTAAAACATGGGCAGCCCTGCACTGACAGCACTCATCCTTTAAAGCAACCCTGAGGGTTTTCTTTACTGAGTGAATACAACCCTGTCTTTATTCTTTGTTTTTTCAAATCCAGTATTTATATATGCACTGGGTTTTGGTCATCACTGAGCACCTGCTAGCCTGTGTAGTAGGCAGCGTGGCCAGGAAGATCTGTGTGCATGGAGGCAACATCTGTGTCCCCATTGTCCCCAGTCTCGGGCAGTGACCACATCTGTGGTTTGAGGCCTCAGACTGTGTTTCAGAAGAACTTTTAAGTATCAGCCCCCCAGTAGACTTCAGACTGAAACACAGATATGTTGTACTCTTTGAAGGTGCTCATTGCTGACATGCAAATCCTATGAGAAAAGTGATCTCTTTGAATGATATCTCAGCATAAGAGCAGCAGAAAGACCCTTTCCATGTGGAAGTGGATAAGGGGTAGGTTTCTGTCTAGGAAGAAAATTGTGAAGTTTTTTACTTACTGATATGCACTTCATCACTCTCTACCTTTGTTGTGTCACATGGGAATGCCTTCTTTCTATATATGGAAGCTTTCTTGAAGAATCAAGGGGGGACTGTGACAGTCACTTTTTGCATAGAGACAGTTGTATTCCGCTTATGCTAGCTGAAGCACATAGTCACATACATGCCAAAGGAGTGTGCATGCAAGGAAGTGCACAAAACTGGATTTATCGTCATTCTATCCTCACGTTAATAAACAAGTTTTCGTTAGTACCATGGACAGAGGCTTTTACAAGTATAAAGTTGATGCTTTACAATATGCCAGTCTTTTTCTCATGCTGTTTATCATCATCCATTGCCAGATATCTTTAGAGGGTAATAATTTTTCATGACTTAGATTAAGTGTGAGAGGAGACCATCCACCATGGAACTCTGGCCATGGCACTGCTCTTTGAGAAGAGTTGTAAAGTAGTCTTGAAGATTTCCTGAGAAATCAAAAGCACCCAACAAGTTATTTAACCTTCTCACCCCCACCAGGTTCTAACTTGACTCCATTCAAGAAAGCTCCAAGAATCTTCGTGGTAAATAGGATTCCTGTATTTGGGGTAGATTCATTTTTTTCCTCATCAAAATCAAATTAAATTTGTATTTTCTTTAGGTAGATGTTCTATGAAATTAGTTATCTTAAGCTTTTATAGTAGCCTAACCTACTAAAGGAACTATTTGCTGCATAACTGTTTTTAGAGTGGAAAATATTTTAATGATGGTATCTATAAATCATATTTAGGATATACTAAATGATTCCCCAAATTCCAACTTTTGTTTGAGTCTACTCATGGACTCTTTTAATAGCCCATACGTATGGTTTGCAAATTTGACAGAATCTGTGTTTTGCTCTTCTCTCTGTCTTCACAGTACCTAACACATTGTCTGTTACCCAAAAACCTACTCAAATATTTGAGAAAATATAACAAGAAATCTTTTGCCCACTCCATTCATGCCTTACATTAGCAATTTGAAGCTTCTGTACTAGACTCTTAGCTTTAAATTGGATACCAGAAACATTTGTAACCCCATTAAATCATGAGTATGTATAATTGCATGCAGTTTGAAAAGATTTGAGATTTTACTCCCTACTAATGCATTTTATATGTTAATACGGTTTCAAATAAAAAATAAGGTAATTGTACTGCTAATAGAGAATAGGAAATTAAACTAAAAAATAATGGCACAGTTTGATTTTATAGCTTCCATTTCCTGGCTCACATCATTAAATTTCACCAAGGTTTTATTTTAAGTTCATTGCTTATGTTAAGTTTACATTTTTGCCTGAATGAGGTGTTCATTTGCATTTCTTTCCTGAATACATAGTTTATTTCTGTTATGCTATCAAAGGATTCAGAACCTATTTCATTCCTCCTTTTGTGTGTCTGTGTTTTAAAATTATTATTGATGTTAATAATTCTTCAATATCCACTTTCTCAGAAAAGAAAATCCTTTTTTCATTTATCTAGAGTGCTCTGCCAAGCAAGCTGAATGGCCGTAATTTCTGAAAGTGCACAGATAATAATTGGTGTGACTTTATTAAGCCAGGAAACTCATTAATAGCTAGTCTAGTATTGTTGATGCTAAACATGACCTTTTTCCCGCTTAGTTTAGTGGGGTAGAAGCTTCGAGTTTAGCCGCTTTATTCACCTTTAAAAGCATGTTTGTCTGATATAAAGCAAGATCTATTCATTCTAAGAACTTGTCATTCTGAATTTAAGCTTTATTTAGGCTAGTAATATATGTAAGGAATGTTTTAATGGCAGATTTATAGAATGTAATGTTTTCATAAAGTGTTAGCATCTGAAACCTTGTTTTAAAAAGATAAGTACTTTTATGTTTAAAAGTTATGCTTTTGTTTTAAAGGTAAGCAAAGGTTAAGATTAGAGATTCATAGTTGTTTTTTCTATCTGTTTGTTTTTTTACTGAGTGCTTAGTAGTGAGAGACATAGTTTTCAAGCATTCAGACAGACCTAGGAATTATGTAGGCAAATGAAGAGAAGTTTAGTTCAAAAATAAGGGTTCTCGGGAAGAGGACTGCTTTTTTAAGTAGGAATGATAGACTTTGTTTTAATGATTCTGGAAGGCATGGATGTGGCACAGATCCCTGACCCCAAATCCATGGTTGAGTAATTTTCACATGACTTCATTGGATTAAAGCAGAGAGCTCTGTGAGTTTCATTTATCCCTGCCTCTCTTGTTTTGTCCCATGCTCAGTTCCCTACAGCCTGATCTAATTTTTCTTTATTAGAATTATGAACACACCACTGCCTACTGCCTCCCTCAAAAACAAAAACAAAACCCCGTGTTGCCATTGCTATTACTGAGGATGGTCACTAGTGGTGCTGGAGGAGAATGCTGCTGTTTTCCCTGCCTAATGCTTAATATAGCCTCAGTCTTGTCACTATCCCAAACACATGAAAATACTTGCCAGTAACCTGCCAAGTTACTATGGAATTAAGTCTCTGGGCCCTAATTAAAAGTAAATATTGAGAGAATTTCAGGATATGCCACACCCCTCCCAGATGATTAGTATTGCCCACTTAGATGTTTCAGATGGAGAGAATCTGGCCTGCTACAAACAGAGAGATTACTCAGACTAAGAAAATGACTCAAGTTTCTGACCTTTTTAATATCAGTCAACTTGCCTAGTGAAGTGTACAGTAAGCTCTCAGTTACCTCCTGGAGAGAGCAGGGACAGTGTGGTGGTCAGAGTGTGAACATCTGCCTCAAAGCCAGGGGTTGTGTCATGGTCAGGATCCTCAGTACCCGACTTTCAGCTGTTCATGCTTTTGAACCAGAATTCATTGTGTATAGAATCGTCTTACAAAGGTACATTGTCCTATTTGTCTTTGACATTACTAACATTAATTTGCATCACTGAACAAACACTATTTGACCCAAAAGAATCTTGAATGTCAGAAAGAAGCCATGCTGTCCTTAAAGGTATTCTGTGCACAAGCCATCAGTAAGTAACCAGTGTTGACTTAGCTTGGCACTATCACATCAGGTGTCTCTTGTGAACTGGATTTATTAAGTTCCCTTCACTTGGAAAAAGAAAAAACTGTGACTCTTGTGATTTTTGGCTCTTATTAGATTTTTGAGAAATTCATCTTGAGTTTCATGAGGTGTTGATTCCCTGTGCACACACACTTGAGGTTTGTCAGCTATCTTATCTTGATGAAACGTGTGTCTCATGTTCTTCCATTCAGCCATGTTTCAGTTCTCACCCACATGACCTGAAATAGAACCTGATAAATATAAAGATATTTTGCTGTCTAACCACCCAAAGCTTAGCATGAATCTAAAGGGTGTGTGTGTGTGTTTTCTGGTATTGACTATCTTTACAATGATTTTTTGTGTGTGTGTCTATTATCTATAAGTACTTAAGTTATGGGCAATAAGATTTTCAATGAAATTAACTATATTTTTAAATGTTCTGCCTTTTTTCTCTGTTGCTTTTGCCCTTCCTGATCGAAGTCTAGGAGAGTAAGTCAATACTTTTTGTAAGAATGTATTTGTCCTACTGTGTCATAAGACCCATGTTCTCATCCTGCAGTTCAACATTGTTGGTGTATCTCTTACATGTTCATAATGTAATGACTGTTTCTAGTCATACCATCCTTAAAACTATGGTTAACTATCAGAGCAGTGCTAATGTTAAATCAAGTTTATTGCATCTGCATTGTTGGTTTGGGTGTTGTCACCCTCTTCATCATACTATACACTTTTCACTGCCATAAAACTGTATCCTTAAATTAAAGTATGGTTTTAGGTATATTTTACAGAGCACTAGGTAGCTATAGAATAAGAGACTTCTAATAATGGTCAGTCCCTCACTCAGAAGGTTCCCTCTCCTCCATTTGGAGACATTTCAGCAGAATGTGTAAAGGGAGAAAGGCACAGCTGAGGGGGGCGCCTACCAGCTGCATGGACTTAGTCTTGTGGTCACTCACTCTCTCCAGCCCTCACTGTACTTGCCTCTACTGCTAGTGTCAGCTGGTTGGAGTCATATAGTAACCTGCCTGCCAGTATACTGTGTTTGAATTCAGTTCAGACTAGAGCTGAGTTCTGAGCTAGAGATAGGAGACCTGGACCCAGGTCCCAGCTCTGCCTTGGACTTGCTTTGTGACTCTGGCAATTGGTTGCCTGCCCTGTTTCTTCCTCTGAAATGCAGGCAAGGACTTGGTAGCTCTTAGAGTTCTATGATTCGCTTAGACCCAAACCACTGGCAAAGGTTCAATGGCAGAATAGAGTCAAGGATTTGAGAATTGCCTCCAGTTTTTGTTTAATCCTTGGTTTTTCTTTTCTAGGATTCGCAGAGCCGGCAAGGAGGATACAGCATGCATCAGCTTCAGGGCAATAAGGAATATGGCAGTGAAAAGAAGGGGTACCTGCTCAAGAAAAGTGACGGGTGCGTGTGAGCCGCAGGGTCCCAGTGTGGGGTCCACGTACTCACTGGGTGTTATTGGCCCAGGAGTTTCTTCCAGCCTCTCCCACAGGAAAACACATTCAGAGGTTTAATAATGCAGTAGCTGCAGACCTTTAGCACACTGGTTTTCTCCCTTTAGAAAATGAAGTCTTGTTCTCTGGTCCCTAAATGACACCTCTGACGAACGCAGTTTTAGGAAGGCAGGTGCTGAGTAGCACGAGAAGCAAGCAAACACTGCCCTCATTCTTCCTCATCTCTCTGCTTTTAGTCACTGCTGCTTTCTCTGCCTCTGTGCCCCTCCAGCTGCCAGCCTTGGGGTCATGTTTGACTCCTCTTTTTCCTCTGACGTCACAGCCAATCTGGCAAAAGCCCTCCCACTTCCACCTCCAAAAATAACGCACTTCTTGCAGTCCCAGCTCCAGGGCGAGCTGCTCCCTATCTCCTGACTATTCAACAGCCTCCTAACTGGTCTCTCCGTGGCACTCTGTCGCCTTCTCCAGCTTACCTTTGCAAAGCACTCAAAGGTGCCTTTTAAAAACCGTAAAGCACATGGCGTCATTCCCCCATGTGAATGCCCGAGCCTCCCATTGCATATAGCATCTCCCCCTGCCTTCCCCTCAGCCTCACCTTGTGCCATTTGCTCCCCTGGATCGGCCACATGGGCCTTCTTTCTGTTGCCAGAACACATGACTATTCACAGTAAGTGCAGGGTGGAATTTTGATGCTTCCCTTTTACTCATTGCCATCCTTTTTAAAAAGAAAGCCTCTTGTTTTCTGATGGTTTGTGGCTGTGTGCTCCTTGGCTTTATCTTATACAGTTTTTGTTGTAATTTGTTTGTTAAAATTGCAGATATTTCTCTTATAAATTTCTAGGATCACTGACTGTTTTGCTCGTATTCTACTCATGCATTCAACTGATACTTTTTGACAGTCTTATTAGAAATCTGGGACTCACTCTTCTAGGCCCTAGGAATATAGCACTGAACAAAAGAGATCCTTACCCTGATACAGCTTACAGTCCTAGGGGCAAGACAAAAAAAGTAAGTAAACATAGGGCAGGTCAGATGGCAATTCAGTGCTGTGGAAAAAGGCAAAGCAAAGCAAGAGATGCAGGGAGTGTGGGGTGGGGTGGTCCGTGCTGTCATGCAGTGGTCAGGGAAGACTTTACTGAGGGGATGCTTGAGCAGAGACCTGAAAGAAGAGAGGGCACAGTGCACACAGATACCTGCGAGAAGAGGGAGCGGCCAGAAGTGTGCCTCTTATGATGACGGATGCTCAGGAAGTCACAGAGCAGAGTGGGTGAGCTAGGAGGTCACAGGAGACAAGGCCAGAGGGGCAGGGAGCCAAACCGTGGGGGACTTTGGAAGCCACTCAGGGGAGTGGGGTGTCATGAGAGGGTTTGAGCGGAAGAGCTGCATGATCTGACATGTTTTGAAAGGTTCTCACTGGCTACTGTGCTAAGATCAACTGTGTAGGGTATAAGAGCAGGCATGGGGGCCGGTTAGGAGACTGCTGCAGAAGTCCAGGTGGGAGACCATTGTGCAGTCCGGGGAACAGTAGAGGAGGTGGGAAGAAGTCAGTTCTGAATCCAGAAGGAAGGCCAGCCAGGACTTGCTGGTATGAGACAGAAACAAAGAAAGGCATCCTCAGTCCTTAGCACAGTGACTGGCTCATTGTAGGGAGTCAGGTCAATAAGTCCTGCTAAGAGTAAAAGAAGAAATGCTAGCTTCCAAAAGCACAGCTTTAAAGTGGGCTCTTTTTAACCAACACAGTGACCGAATTCTAGCCCCAAATTGCATGGGATCAAGTGTACGTAAATCATTAATTCTGCAGTTTGTCTTGCTGGAACACTCCCATTCTTTTCCTGACTGTGGTACCGACAGCTCTTGGAAACGTGATGACCTGTTATTCTTCCATCAAAAGGAAATTTTATGTATCTCATTGTGAGCAACAGTGTATGATTACATTTCTATTGAAGAAGTATACGTCAGTCACAGTTTTTACCACTATTCAACTGAAGTCAGTGGTTTTTTTGAAATTGGAATTGCTGATTTCTGAGTGAAGTGGTTAATATCTGTATGCCCAAGGAAGATAAGAGTCTTTCCATAAATGCTGTTTAGTTCAAACCCTAAAATGTTCAAGGAAATGATCATCTTGCGCACATCTGCTGTGTGCTTGCCATACTGACACTACCTCTCACGCATCCCATTGACAACATTTGCAGAGAGATTAAATAATTTGACTAAGATCAGACAGTAAGTATGAGAGCCCAGATTTGAACCTCAGCCTCTTGACTGAATGCCAGGGTGTCTTCTTTTGCATCTCAAAGGAGCCATCACTGCTGTTGATTATCCTTGGCATATGCAAGATGTAAACTGGCATAAACTCACCCCTTGTGTCCTCCAATCTTTTGGTCTGTTCTTCCGTCATGTTCTCATTCCACACACATTGATGAAACACTCTGGTATCTGAGCTTGCTAGATGCTTGAAAGGTTAAAGGTAGCTGCGATGTGGTCCTCGCCCTCACCTTGCCTGCAGTCTGTTGAGAAGAGATAAAGGAAAGAGCTGTTGCATCTCAGAGTTGGTAAGGTGGTTGGAATTCGGATGAGTAGTGATCACCTAGGGTTGCTTGTGATTGCTTCTAAGGAAGAGGAAAAAACTGAAATGTTTGTTCCTAAGGACAAGCTCTTTTGCCAACAGTGACTGTAGGTGTGTCCTATTTTTCTCCTAAGGATCATTTGCATTAGTAATTTTTGACTCTAGTTTTGGAATATTCCTTGTTACTTAAAGGGACTGTTACAATTTGAGCAATCTTTAAAGCAATTTTAAGAACAATTTTAAAACTTTAAAATTTATTTTAAAAAGGTATTTGTTGGGAGACAAAGGAGTAATTGCTTTATTATATGTTCTTATATGTAAGAAGTAGGCATTATTATCTTCATGGTACAGATAAGGAGAGTGAGTGTCCAAGAGGTCAGTTAACATGAGCAAAGCCACGGAGCTAGTGGGTGATAGCACTGGGTTGAAGGTCAAGGAACATAGCATCAAAGCTGGAACTCTTAGTTACGCAAGGCTGCTTTCTTTTTTTTTTTTTTTTGAGTTGGAGTCTCACTCTGTCGCCCAGACTGGAACGCAGTGGCCGCTCCTGGCCACCGCAGCCTCGACCTGCTGGGCTCCGGCGATCCTTCCGCCTCAGCCTTCCAAGTAGCCGAAATTACAGGCATGCGCTACCACGCCCGGTTGATTTTTTGATTTATTGTAGAGATGAGATCTCGCTGCCCAGGCGGGTCTCGAACCCGCGGGCTCAGGCAATCCACTCACCTTAGGCTCCCAAAACTTTCTAATGGAAAATTTCTTTTCCGGATGAGATTCCAGCAGGGCATAATTGTTTTCAAATTGTGTAAGCAGTTCTTTAATTGTGTGCAGCACTCTCTGTGAACACTAGATGGCGAGAGTCCATGAGCATCCAGTCCAGAGCGACACGGCATAGAGCATCCATAAAGCTTTCAATGCAGGGAGGAGAGGTCACCGCAGTTGAGGCTTATCCATAGAAGTCTCAGGAGTAAAAGCTGTCAGAGTATTTGCAGCAGTCGAGGTGCTGCTGCTCTCAGCTGTGCAGGAGGAAATCTTGAGATATCCCCTTTCTTCTGGCCATCTGAAAGCATCTCATTAGCAAGCTCTGTTAACCAGACAGATTCATGCTTTTGTGCAGCTTTCCTTGGGCTCTATTAGTAATGCAAGGGAATGTGATTATTTTTGTTGCACTTTCTTTTTTTTTTTTTTGAGTTGGAGTCTCACTTGGTCGCCCAGACTGGAGTGCAGTGGCCGCTTCCGGCCACTGCAGCCTCGACCTGCTGGGCTCCAGCAATCCTTCCTCCTCAGCCTTCCAAGTAGCCGGAATTACAGGCATGCACTACCACGCCTGGCTGATTTTTTGATTTATTGTAGAGATGAGGTCTCGCTGCCCAGGCGGATCTCGAACCCGTGGGCTCAGGCAATCCACTCACCTCAGCCTGCCAAAGGCACGGGATTACAGGCTGAGCCACCGAGCCCGGCTATGTGTTGCACTTTCATGATATACATGTGTTAGGAAAACTGATGAATAAAGACTTAAATAAAATGAATAAGTTGAGGTTTCAGACTATTAAGGTTGAATGACTCAATTGTTAGGATGGCTCGATATTAAAGTATGTTACTAGAGAAGGATGACACTGGCATGGGCTTAATGTGTGCAAGGCTGATGCCATCTACATTAGCAGGCTCTTGTGAGGGTAACATCGGATGCGGAACTACATGCAGGGAGCTAGTTACATTATATGATTAGGTGACAAATATTACCTCTATCATTTTCCTGGTCAGTACTTCCAAGAGTTTGTTGAGGATGGTTCATCAATTAGTGGTCCTAAATTGCCCCCTGAGAAGACCAGCATTTTGAGCAGTTGGTCGGATGGTGTCAAATTTTTATTTCCCTCTGTGAGGCATGCTTTGAAACAAACTGTACTTTTAGTAGCCACAGATACAATATTATTGTGTTTAGAATTGGTTTTAAGTTTATGTTTTGGCAGTTTTCTTACAGGACTAACTTAAGAAGGAAAAGAAAAACACAAGATGAATTGAAATGCTTGGGAAAGCTTCTGTGGTCTCATAATGTCATGTGTTTCCATGGCAACAGAAGGCCTGCAAAGCCTTCTCCCAGCCTTGGGAATCCCTTTTCCCTGCCCATTTCTATTTCCCTGGTGTAAGTGGTCTCAGCTAGTGCATTTTTACCTGCCTGCACGTGTGCAGTTCTGCCACACACGCAGCCCCTTGTCTGTACCTGGAACTTCATACATACACACAGGTGGACATTAGTTCTTTGGCTTTTTTCATCCTTCAGCATCATCAAATCAGAATTTTCAGAATGTATATCATTTGCAATGACTTGTGAATAGTTTAGCCATTGTTTTGTTTCCTATGTGAATTTGTAACAGTTCCCTTTCAGG